CTGCTCCACATCAGTAGAGCTACATCAACATTAATTTATTTAGTCCTATGCGACTACATGTCTACATCAATCCATATATATAGACATTCTATATCCAAAATCACAATTTTAATCGTTTTGCTCGCCCCTCAATGTTTTACATTCGCCTAGTTATGATCCTAGACAGTTGAATAGGGAAATGCATTGGAGTGTACTGTTTATTGGGGCGAGCATAAGCGAGCCCCACTCAGGCGAAGTCTCCCTCCCTCCCTCCCTCCGTATGTATGTATGTATGTATGTATGTATGTACGTACGTCTCCAGTCACGCCTATTCTGGTCACACCCCATGTGTGCACAATATCTATTTAAAAATCAATGATCTAATGCGGTAGCATTCTAATGAAATATTTTCATTGATGTGGGTGTGGTTGCAATGAAATTAAAATGGCACCTACCTTAGCCAATCTTACTTGCAGCAACATAGGACTGATCTCTTGTCAAGACACTTCATCAGCAGAGAAAATTCAAGAAAACACACATAAATCTTCAAGTTTTTATTAATTATGGTTGAATGACAGAATATAAAAGCACTTCAAATGGCTCATCAGAGAAAAGAGAGTCCTAAAAGTACTGTGCTTGAAAATATCATAGTAAAAATTAAATTATACTTATTAAAGTTACAACTGAGATTCTTCACTGCTAATAAAGCTAGAAGACCAAGCTATAAAATTTCCTTGCATGCAAGTCACAAGTTCTGAGCTGCTCTGCATATCATTCAATTTACAATTTGACAACAACATTAGCCTTTGTGACATCTAAACATTGTATATTGCCATGCTAGCTTGTGCTCGCCCCTTCAATGTTCTACATTCGCCTAGTTGGGGCGAGCAAAAGCGAGCCCCACTTAAGCGAGACTCTTCTGTTTGTATGTATGTACGTACGTCTTCAGTCACGCCTATTCTGGTCACACCCAACGTGTGCACTACTATCTATTTAAATGTCAATGATCTAATGCGGTAGTATTCTAATGAAATATTTTCATTGATGTGGGAGTGGTTGCAACAAAATGGCGACTATTCAGGCTATGAAACGGGAGCAATTCTCCAGCTTACTTGCAGCAGGATAAGACTCATCTGTTGTCAAGACACTTCTCTAGCAGCAAGAAAGTTAAGAAAGCAGCTGTATAATCATTAAGGTCTGTCATCATTCTTGAATTACATGTTATAAAAGCTTAGATCCATCAGAAAGAAGATTGCATGTGAGACAGTGACTGATTCATATGCTCTATCTTCCATGCTAGAAGGAAACTTTAATATCTGCAGAAATTCTTAACTCATAAAACTAAAAGAGCAAGCTCATAGCATGAAATTACCTTCTACTGATGAAAGTTCTGCACTGCTCCTCGTCAGTGGATAAACATTTATTTAGTCCTATGTGACTACATGTCTACATCAATTCATATAGACATTGTATATTGATAATCGAAAATCACAATTTTAATCGTTTTGCTCCCCCCTCAATGTTTTACATTCGCCTAGTAAATGAGTGTATCTGATTGATTGGGGCGAGCCTGAGCTTGCCCCACTCTACACACCCAAGAGTTACCATGCATGATCCGTGAATGATGGATATCAGGCCTGGACCAGGCTTGATTCTATAACGGTCCAGCATCGACGGCCATCACTGCTGAATCAAGGCTGTTGCTCTGGCCTGGACCAGTATCTATTTCAGTCCCGATGTAGTCATAGCTGATACAGTAACATCTGTTCGTCAGCACTGGTCCAGGCTGTATATCAGTACTGGATCAGATCGATGCTTTTCAAGATAGCAGCCCCGCGTGGACTATCTGACATGTTTTGTTAAAGAAAATCA